AAAACTTCAAAAATAAAGATGAGGCAACAAATACAGAAGTTGGGTAACTTGTCCCAGTTAATTCAGCTGGTAAGTGGCAAAGCCCAGAACTGAACTCGAGTGTTTTGACTCCAGAACCCACTGGTACACACCGGCAGATAGGAAAGACAGAAAGCACCAAAAAACAAACAAACAAACAAAACAACAACAAAAAAAACCCCAAAAAACAAACAGAAAAAACAACCACCCTTAAGTGGCAATTCTAGAATCTATTTCTCTTATCTTATTCAGCTCAAACCAGATGGTCAAGGGGAAAAAAAAATATCTAGGTGCTTCAGGTCAACATGTCCAAAAGAAAACATTTTGACACAGCATTCCAAATCATCTTTAAACAAAATAATCCAATTTAGAACAAAGTGAGGGGAAGAAATAGACAGACATTCCTGACAAGGCTAAGACCATAAAAACGAGGGAAATGGGGAGGGACGACTGGGAAGAAGAGAACATGGGTTTGGGACGATTAAGGAAGTCCAGCACGTGGGAAGAGCTGTAGTCTCCAAGACCACACAACTATCACCCAAAAAGTCATGCCGGAACCAAAGGGTCAGTCACAAGGAAGTGACCAAGAATGCCGGCTCAGACATGGGTCAGCCTGAGCGCCGAGCACAGCAAGTGGATCGAGCTGAGCTGGAGCAGAGATTCCCAGAGATTCTTAAGCCTTTTTTCTACCGTGACCCACATACAGACCCAGACTTGACATCACAATGAAGGAACCTCGAACAAAAATAAATACATACACATATATTAGAAAAGTAAAACTGAAGTTTTCCCAAACAAATGCACTCTAACATTTTCTATTCTTGTTTTTTTTTTTAAGATTTTTTTTTTAATTTACTTAAGTGGGGGGGCAAACGCAGAGGGAGAAGCAGAGAAGCAGACTCCCCACTGGGCAAGGAGCCCAATATGGGACTCGATCGGACCCTGAGCTCATGACCTGAGCTGAGGGCAGACACTTAACCAACGGAGCCACCCAGGTGTCCCTGATATTTTCTATTCTGTTCTATTCCTTCCTCTTCTTTTTTTTTTTTTTTTTTTTTTTTTTAAGAAGGCTCCATGTCCAGCACGGAGCCTGATGCAGAGCTTGAACTCCCCACTGTCAGATCAAGACCTGAGCCGAGATGGAGCGTTGGACACTGACCGATGGGCTACCCAGGCGCCCCATTCTTCCTTGCTCCCGTGCCTGTCATGAGCTATGAAACTGATTTCATGACCTGCTAGTGGGTCTTGACCTACAATCTGAAAGCACGTCAGGAGAGAACTCCGAGAGCCAGCCAGGGAACGGCGCTGGGCCCACAACCAGAAGAGCTCACGTGTGAGTGTGGTCTGTTCGCTGCCTGTGCGTCCCTCCAACACGAGAGAGGGAGCAGGGCTCACACGCACGGCACCCTGCTTACGAATTCACACGCTAACCTCCTTCACCGCGCGCCCCTCCACAACAGGAGGCTGTCTGTCCTTCGTACGGAAGGGTGACAAGGAAACCGAGCGGTCAGTAACGGGTATACGCTGCATCAAATTCATATCACAAAGCAAGGAGCCAAACCTGCTAGCACTCTGAGAGTTTCCAAACAAGTCCCTGAGAGGATGGTTCAGGTACAAAATCAAATTCCACCTGGTGTTGAAATTCCTCAGAATTCTGGGCTGCTAAATGGTCTTGCGTTTCCTGGAGTGTCCTCGGTCTCTTTTATACAACCTGCGGTTCAATTACACATCCCTTCCCCACGCTTTTTACTGTTTTCAAACATAAAATACCGTCACCGAACAGCCCAGGAACAAAGATCATGAAATATTGTGGCTGGAGTGAAATTCTTATAAATATTTTACACTTAGTTGGATTTCTTGGGGAATTTCCATCCCTGGGCAAGAAAAACTACTGAGCACCTTCAGACATTTAGCCTGAAATTTTTAAAAAAAAAGAAAGAAAGAAAAGGAAAAACCTAAACGGAATACACAGAATTTGTGTTCCGGGGGCAGGGAATACGGGCGCTGGCAGCCGTCCAAGAACACTGGCAAACACATCCATGACGGAGTCGAGAAGGGGCCAGAACAAGGAAAGCTGCAGTTTGAGACGACATTTTCAGGAGCGTCAAAAACAGAGTGTGTGGGAGCAGACACTGTATTGGGGAATCGGTATGCACACACGACATCGAGGAAACTGTCCTTGGAACGGTCTGGGGTTTCAGCTCCTGTCAACGGACCGCAGGTCGATGAAAAGATATCAAATCATGTCTCAGAGGTAGGACTGGGGGGAACAAAAGCATGGAAACGTCCTGTTGGAGCCCATGCTCTGATATACAAGACATCTCTCTAAACTTTGCCACAACATTCAGTGCAATTAAAAAGCTACAGAAGAGAATTAAACGGAAGTCAAACCTAATTTAAAGGAAGTATGTACTGATCTTGTCCAAGGTCTGAGGAGCCTGGAGAGGATGAGGGACAAGGAGCAGGGACGAAAAGGGAGAGGGGGGAGGAGAAATGTCCGCATCTCATCGGAATGCACCAGAATGAAGCAGGAGCCTGCACAGAAGTTTAAACCACACAACGAGGGTCTGACGGGAGGGTCCCGAGTGGCTGCCCCTTGGAGCATACGAGGTTCCCGGCAGACAAGGAGACGAAGGGCCTCACACGCATCCTTCCCTCCAAGACCCCAAACTCAAACTCTGTGTGGTGTTTGGGGTCCGGCTTCCGTCACCTGCGGTAAGGTTTCTGAGTCCCACCACGTCGTAGCCGGATTGGCCCTGCATCTGTGTCTGTGGCCCGGCTGGGCGCCCCGGCACTGTGTCTGCCCTCGCACCAGCCGTGGCCGTGGGGCCTTCACGAAGAACCCTGCAGTGAGTGTCCATTCGCACGTCCGGGTGTGAGAAAAGGCTCCACTTCTCTTCAGTGATTTCTGGGAGTGGAACCACGGGGTTGTGTGGAATCCATGTTTAGCTTTATTCTTTTTTAAAAGATTTATGGATTTAACAGAGAGAGACAGACAGTGGGGGGCGGGGGCAGAGGCCAAGGGAGAGTCTGAAGTGGACTCCGCACAGAGCGTAGACCCCGACGTGGGGCTGGCTCGGCTCCAGAACCCCCAGATCACCATCGGAGCCAAAACCAAGAGTCGGACGCTTCACCGACTGTACCGCAATGTGTGGTTAGCTTTTTAGGAAACTGTCTAACCAGTCTGCAACGTGGCTGCGCCATTTTACATTCGCACCAGTGAAGCATGTGTCTTCACTGCCCACGTCCTCGCCGACACTCACTCTGATCACAGTCATGCCACTGGTTGTGAACTGGTACCTCGCTGTGGGGGGATCTGTGTCTCCCTGCCCCTGCCCTACCACACTCTGGGTTTACACCCTTAAGGACCTGCCTCTATCACCTCTCTCGCTCCACTGACTCTGTCCCGTCAGGAGATGACTATGTTTGGGTCCCTCCCATCTTCAAAACCAAAGCAGAAACAGCCTCTTATCTATAAAAGGTGATCTCCATGTAGATTTCCATTGGTCATAGTCATCACCTTCTCCCAGCTGACTCATGGAGACAACATCTGTTTTTCCTAAAGAAATTCCCGTACCCCGAAGAAACTCCTACTTCAGGGATGTGCAGCCACAATTTGCAGCTGTAGTCGATTCCGAGAGGATGATTCTCATGGGCCCTCGTTTCCTAATTCAGTCTCAAACTTCCTTTACATTCACTACTTTAAATGCTAGGAAGTTACTCTTTATTTTTGACTTGAATACCAAAATGGGTGGGTATCCTTTTCAATGAAGAACCGTGCCTCTATCAGGAACACAAAGAATTGTCTGTATCGGTACCTTCAGCTCCCTTTAATAATTAATCCTCATCAAATATATAACATTGCAAGATGAAAGCTTTTATTCAACCATGCTGGAAAACATTTGCAACCGATAATGAAAACAAAATAGTCCCTCCAGAGATAAAGCTACTCCTTCTTAAACCACACCCACGAACGTTCCCCTACTAAGAATTCAAATACTTACTTTCACATTCTGAACCTACTGACTCTCCCTTCTGCCCACACAAACACTTTTAATGAAACTTTCTTCTGCCTCATCGTGAACTCCAGTCCTTCATTTTGTCTGGATCCTCACATTCAAATCTTGTTAAATATTAAAAGATAACGTGTGGTAGACAGAAGAGTAAGATGGTCCCCAAGGTTCCTGCCCCCAGTACACACGCCCTATGTAATTTCCTTGAGTGTGTAGGGCAGACTGATGATTATATGGCACATCGCTAATGTGACTGGGCTACTATTCAGTTGACTTTGAGTTATTCGAAAGCGGAGACTGTCCTGGGTGGGCCTGACTAATCAGGTGCTCTACTAAAAAGAAAGGTAAGCATCAGAGAGATGTGTTCCTTACTGCCTCAAGCACAAAGCAAACTGGCATGCAGTGAGAGGAGGGGCTGTTTAGTAAGGACCAGAGCACAGACTCTGGATGCTGGGACTGGTCCCAGATGACAGCCTGCGAGACCATGGCGATGTCTGTCCTGCAGACACAAGGACGTTGATTCTGCCGACAACTGGCAAGCCTGAACACATCAGGTCACACAAGATCACAGCCACAGCTGACAACCTGACTTCAGCCCTGAGAGACTCTGAGTAGAGGGCCCAGTGAACCTGTGCCCAGACTACCGACCCAAGGAGACTGTCACGTGACACCTGCGGGCCACATGGACAGTAATTTCTAACGCGGCCATGATAAAACTAATGTGGTGGTTTAAAAACAACATGCTGCTTTCTGTTGGTAGCTCTTCAAGAGAGGTTACATAGAGAATGAATTTCAGCCCCCGTATTTTCATCAAAGGGGAGAAAAACCTCGAAGCCAACAATGCATTGGTAGCATTTATGAAATAATTACAATGAAGCTTGACCCCATACGCGGGGAGCCCAGGCCACATGACAGCTGCTGGGTGCTGTCACCACCCCGGTGGGAGAGCCCATGCGACCATGACAGTACCTCGGTCCTCCAGTGGGTTGCCTGCCAGGTTAACTGTGTGGAGTCCTGAGCTGGGATTGTGCGCTAGGGCACTGGCCAGTTTTTGGGCAAAATCCCTGCAAGTAAACAAAACAGCAAGGTTAAGTGCCATGGAATGTAAAACTGCTCAAATCAAACATAGCTACGGCTCGAGTGAGAGCTAACAAAAGAACACCTTTTGTTACAATGGTAATCAATTTACTACACATTTATTTTATTTTTTTTTTACACAGTTGTTAACACCGAATTCTAGCCTCCACTAGTATCTATCCTCATTAGAGAATCCCCAAAGACACAGCGAAAATGTGGTTCATGTTGATTAGCCAAAACCGCATTCAAAAGCAAAAAGAAAATATACAGTTGCCCCTTTAAAGATACATTACAGGGGCACCTGGGTGGCTCAGTGGGTTAAGCCTCTGCCTTCGGCTCAGGTCATGATCTCAGGGTCCTGGGATGGAGTCCCGCATCGGGCTCTCTGCTCAGCAGGGGGCCTGCTTCCTTCCTCTCTCTCTGCCTGCCTCTCTGCCTACTAGTGATCTCTATCTGTCAAATAAATAAATAAAGTCTTAAAAAAATTAAAAAAAAATAAAGATACATTACAGGATGCTATACATAGTATTATTTAGTCCCCTCATAACTTTAAAAAAAAAAAAAAATCCTGAATCGAGCCTTCTTTTCATGGAAACAGCTATTGGCTGTTCACTCTATCTGAACTTTCATTTCATGCAATACTCACATATGCAAAACTGATCTCCCTACTTAATCAGTTTAAAGTCTACGATTGCTAGCACTGTTTTCACAAAAACTCAAAATCACTATTTCAGGTATGTTGTACTTAAAAGAACACACTAAGTGCTATGATGACGAAGGTGTCTACCGCCCTCACTTAGGAGCAGTAAAGTCTTTGTTTTAGCAGACTCGAACTCCACGTGAGGCTTGGGCCCTGCCTACCCAGCCACTACCGACCACTGAACAAGGGAGGTATGGATCTGGAAAGAGAGAGAAGCAGATAAAACAGAGCCAAGCAAAGCAACGGAACCACAGGAAATATGTCAGTGCCTCCGTGAATGATACTCCCAAGGGCTAACGCAGAGCGTCTGTAACAGGATTCTTTTCGAAGCACTTTACATACATGGATTTACTTCTCCTCACAGCCCTCACTCTAAAAGGTAGGTGCTACTGTGTTGTCCATCTTCAAGATAAAGAAAGTGAGGCCCAGAGGGAAGGAACTTGCCCAAAGCCATGAAGGCATCTGGCTCAGGGCCCACTCTCCTCACCAGCACACCCGGCTCCCCCGAAAACCGCCAGGGACTGGACCACAGAGGATGCTGTAAGACCCTCGACCTCTGTGCTGATGGGGAGCACAGGGATCCTTTACTTATTTTTTTTATAAGAGAAAACATGACACTTTATATGTGAGTGGCTCAACCATTTGTTTTTTTTTTAACTATATATTAATTTTAGAGAAAATGACAGAAAATTTTTAAGTTACATGTTCATATATTCGGGACAGTACTCACGTTCTGAGCCCAGCGTTTTCCAACACCAGTTCCTCTAACCGACTGGACCTGCTCACCACTCTCAAGATCTGTTCGCAGACATCGGCGGACTGTGAGGGAAGACACCGTGTGAGCACCCTGAGCCCAAGGCAACCTCACTTTACTGTCACAAACCCACGCAGGTGCGAAGTTTTAATTAGAGAAACCACGTAACATGCAGTCATTCCTTTGTCAACACCTGATGCGGCATCCATGACTACACACCGTCACAATGAAGGACCCGGGGATATAAGGACACTGAGGACAGAAAGTCCCCGCCTTTAAGAGTACACCAGCCAGCAGGGCCATCAGACCAGAAAACAGACGATTCTGATGGAATCATTAAAGGCCATGTTAGTAGTGCTGTGGGCACTCAGAGGCATATGCGCCCAATCTTGGGAAAACCAAAAGGAATTCCCAAAGAAAGTGCCCTCTAGCGGGAGAATGAAAGACTTAGTGTTGGTAATGATGCAAGGCTCATCAGGGTCCTGGGATCGAGCCCCGCATCAGGCTCCCTGCTCAGCAGGAAGCCTGCTTCTCCCTTTCCCACTCCCCTGCTTGTGTTCCCTCTCTCGCGGTGTCTCTCTGTCAAATGAATAAAGAAAATCTTTAAAAAAAAAAAAAATGATGCTAGGTTCATGATGATGAGCCCTTTGCTGAGCTCTTGTCTTGTGCTTGGCCCTGAGCTAAGCCCTTTGTGTATATGTCATCATAAAACTGTGAAACGTTATTACTCCCTTTTTATAGATAAGAAAGTTAAGGTTCAGAGATGTCATATACTTTTCTTTTTTAAGGTTTTATTTATTTGACAGACAGAGATCACAAGCAGGCAGAGAGGCAGGCGCCAGAGAGAGAGGAGGAAGCAGACGTCCTGCTGAGCAGAGAGCCCGATGTGGGGCTCGAATCCAGGACCCTGAGATCATGACCTGAGCCGAAGGCAGAGGCTTTAACCCACTGAGCCACCCAAGCGCCCTGAGATGTCATATACTTTAAAATGGTGGCTGAATCATGATTGATAAACGTTAACTATTATGGTGGTCCTGCTAGCAGTCTCTAAAATAAAGGGGGAAACGACCCAATAAGAATTCAATAAGTGCTCTCTCATGTTCATAAACATTATGTTTTTTAAAATCAAGTAGTTGTAACATTGTATCTGTCAAAATATTTTAAGTGCTCAAGATATACTATCATATGAAAATGCAGAATTAAAATGAAATGTTTCAAATAAAGATCACAAAAACTGAAATGGCTATTGGATGTTGCACAAGTCTTGAGGATGCTAGGAAAAACACAGAGTTGTATCCTGGTGGCGGAATTGTACACGTTTCTTTTTTAATTTTACATATTAATATTTTTTAATTTGTCTATGTTTCGCCTTATTCCAAAACCGACTTAAGGTGGCTCCTGATTTTAAAATCACTTCTACATTTAAAAGTGATTTTAGGGACGTCTGGGTGGCTCAGCTGGTTAAGCGTCTGCCTTCGGCTCAGGTCATGATCTCCAGGTCCTGGGATCAAGCCCTGCATCAGGCTCCCAGATCACTGGACAGTCTGCTTCTCTCTCTCTCCCTCTGTGTGCATGCCCTCTCTCGCTTTTACTCTCTCTCAAATAAACAAAAGAAAAAAAATCTTAAAAAATAAAAATAAATAAATAAAATCTCATCACAATGTAGGGTCTATTTAAATCCTTTATGACATAGAAGGAAGGAAGGGAGGGAGGGAGGAAGAGAGAGAAAGGAAGAAAGGAAGGAAGAAAGGGGAAAGAAAGAAAGAGAGAAAGTGAGAAAGAGAAAAAGCAAGAAACAAGAAAGAGAGAAGGAAAGGCAGAAAGGAGGGAAGAAAAAGAGGAAGGAAGGAAGGAGGGAACAAAGGAAGGAGAAAGAAAGACAGAAAGAAAGAAAGAAAGAGAAAGAAAAAGAAAGAAAGAAAGAGAAAGAAAAGGAAAGGAAAAGAAAGAAGTAAAAGCAAAAGGGAGGGAAGAAAGAGAAAGAGGAAGGAAAGGGAAGGGAAGGAAGGCAAAGGAAGCAGGAGGGAGGAAGGAAGTTTTGAGTACCACAGCATACTATAATCAAAGCAGTTTCTTTTCTTAAAGTACCAACAAAAAAATTACAATTCTTTGATTTATCCGATCACATATGTCCAGCTGGATTAGACATCATTGGGACAGTCTGAAATGTAACAAAAATTCGCTAGTGAACATCCTTTAGAAAACACACGAGTCCCACAGCACCTAAGACGCCTGTGATTCTTACGTGCTATCCGATTCCATTCAGTCTACAATGTAGCTTTCACAGGGTCCCGGAGTTTCTGATGTTTCTCACAGATTGATGAAGGAAGAGGAAAATTAATTCCAATTGACCCGATGCCTGCCATTTACATGATGCTGACGGTGCTCATTTTCAAAATGGTGACCCCCTTATCAGTGTAATTCTTTGTCTTACAATACACAACCAAGGGAACTGATCTTACTCTGTATTGGCATGATAAAAAGCCACTGCTTAGACAGTATTTTTGCAGGGATTATCCTCATTTCCAAAAACAATCCATGGTATATCATTATCTTTCCAGGGCCACCTTACAGAGCTTCCAGAAAAGCAATTTCCCAAAGCAGGGCTTTCATTTCCCTATTAGGTATCATTACTGTAATAAAAATTTATTACAGAAAATGTCGAAAAAGTATGTCCAACTTTTCTTTAAAATGCTGGTAGGGGAGAAGTATAACAAGTCATTCACGTCTATGTTCATTTTGCTACTTTTTATTAAGTGCCCAAGCACATGCAAAGAATTGTTTTCTACACTGAAGAATATTATAATGATTAAATTTTTCAAGAGGTATACACCCCCCCAAACCTAGACAGCAAATAACATATGACCACTAGAGTAGTGCTCCCCAAATGTCAGCTGCCTGTGCTGCATTACGTTCACTGATTTAAGGGGGAATATTCTTAGTAAGTTCATACAGTGGCTCTCCAAGAGCTTGCCTTTAGTTAAAAAATCAGAGGTATACTCTAAAAACAAGGGAAATCGCTATCAGCAACAATTGGACTAGTGCAAAATAAAGACATAGAGAATTTTATAACTAAAAGGAACCAAGGCAACTGGCCCAACGAGTCCATTTGAAAAAGATGCGGAAAGACCCCTCAATGCTTGCTAACTTGCCTAAGTTACAAAGTCAAGACTTGAGCAAGACCCCCATCTACTGTGATGTTAATGAGTCAAGAATCTAAGACAGAAACTTACTCTTCATCAAACTTTGGCATATCTAAAAAAAAAAAAAAAAAAGATCCTCCTACCCTTCTATTTAAATTAAGGAAAGTGACTATTAATGGGAGTCCTAAGATCAGCATAAAGCCCCTAGGACCCATTTTTCTTGTGGCAGCTTAGCACAGGAGGATTTTACGGAGCTAGAAGCAATCTTAAAAACCCCAAGAATCCCTGTAACTCGAGAGGAAGTCACTCCTTTGTGTCCTGCACTCCACTCCATGTTTTCAAAAGTCCAAAGAAGGCGTACTATTGTCTTTTGCACCAGTAAACTGAGTATCAGAAAAGGTTCCAAGGTTGCATCTTGCCTAGGTCTATGCCTTCAAAGGGGCGAGTATCAGCTTTTTTAACGTTGGGTGAAAAACACGAAAAACTGCTAATTTTTTTTGAAGACTGAAGAGCAATATCCCAACATTCTTCTGTTAAAATACCAAATATTAAAAATATACAAATAGGTGTTTTGGAGCTTAAATCGCAGTTATTGGAAGAGCGGTAAGGGCAGCTCTCAAATCGTGCCACGACACTTCCTTTCATCCCAGGACATCGAGGGAAAGCCTCTGAGCGCCTCCATGCCTTGTGTTCTGGACTGAGGCTTCTGCTGTTGGATCTCCCTCCCACCACTGCGTCCGCCTGTTCCCTGGGAGTCTACCTGGCCCCCAGCCGTGCCTCACTTTATCCTCACTGAGCACAGACCCTCCCCCAGTGGGGCGGATAGTTTCCATAACTCGCATCCCCACACTTGCTCATTTCTCAGCCTCTCCGCTAGTCTGTGATGCTGTAAGAGTAACGTGAACAGGAAATGCCTCCAAGATGTCAGGTACTCTGTTAGCATTTCTACACACATGATTTATTCACCCCCAATACCCTGCAAATTAGCTATATTGCTGTGTCCATTCATTAATTCAACAAACTAATCTGACACCCATTTATTAGACCAATTTTTATGGACTAGCTATTTAAGCCAATATATTCCGATAAGCACTGGACAGAGATGAGTAAAACACGAGCTCCAATGGACTCTCGGTAATGGGAAACTGAGGTCCTGGGATGTCAGGTAGCTTACGAAGGTCCCACAGCCTTGTCATAGGAGCCAGAGTCTGAGACCCAGGTTTCTGTTTCCAAGCCTGCACTCTTTCCTATACCACACTGGCTCTTAGTGAGCCCCAAATGAGCTCAGCCCATGCCTATACTGATACTACTTTAAGCCACTCATACCCCAGGCAAATTCAGAGACCCAGCAGCCTGTCCACTGGCAAACCTCAGCCCTCCATTTTCTACAGATCCAGGTCTCCATCAAAATCCTACCTCTCCACTACGAAAATGGTTAACTTTCCAGTTCCCATGACCTCTGGAAGTCAGAGGCTTGAACACAGAGTCACCAAGAAAATAACCTCTAGATTACATCCTGCCCTAAAATGAAGTAGGAGAAAGTTAACTTAGGGATAAGGTTCTGCCCATACAGCTGCTTTGGGCTTGCAAAAAAATCCCAACAGAGCATCTCACTTCCACTAGTAAAACAGACAGAAAATTTGGCTCCCCCATACCTTATGAAAACTAACATCTCACTTCTGATTTCCTTTTGCTTACATACAAATTTGCCCAAAAACTCCTCTAGAAAATCATCACTCCAGCACACAAACTCTGCCTGATCCCGTTTACCCAAACTCTTAGGAAGGGAAGCTTGGCGGAGACGGAATGCAAGATAGAAACATCAAATCTGCTCCTTGCAGCTGTGCAAAGGTAAGTTTAAGAGTTTTTCCCAACAGAATGAGCGTGTACTGATGGCTCTGAGAACCGGGTCTCTCGGTTCATTATCTAAAATTGCCGGAGGCAGCTGAAAACAGGAGGAAGTACTTCTCCGCGGCATCTCACATTACCAACTTGGTGAAATGGTATGCAGATCATTTACAGGAAAATACCTCCTCGAGAAAAAAGCATGTATGCAGCTCACCAGATCAGTAGAAAAACAAATGTCTTTTTGATAATTATCGGGCTTTGGAAACTCAGCAGAAGTAAGCAACATCTGCAACATCTTCACTTACCAGTTTCAGATCCTTGGAAGATAGCTTTGTGAACCACTGATTGTATTCCAGAGCAGCAACGATGGGTATCAGGTCCCTAGAAGCAGAAATAACAACATCCGTCAGAGGCCCTCGTACGAGAGCCTTACTGACACGTCATGTTCAACCCACGGCATCCAAGTTCACTTGTTAGCTCCTGTTATTACAAACATGACATCCCCCCGAAAATACTTCACCCACAGATCTCTGGGTCAGATCTTCAGTCTGATGTAAGCAGAATTCCTAAAAGCTGAATTTAAACTACCTCTAGGGCCCCTGATGTCTATATCCAAAGGAAAAGAGTGGTAGCAGTGTTTGCTCAGAGATCCTCCTTGCTCCAGGAAAGACTGTATTGCTCCTTCTATATGAATGAGTCTGATTTCTTTAACCATCAAGAATGTCCTATACAGTTCACCCTTGAACAATACGGGTTTGAACTGCATGGATTTTTTTTTTTTTAATAAAAAAGTACAGTACTCTAAATGTATTTTCTCTTCCTTAGGATTTCCTTGATGACATTTTTTCCTCTAGCTTACTTTATTACAAGAATTACAGTATGTAATACATATAATATACAAAGTGTTTGTTATGTGTTCATGTTATCGGTAAGGCTTCTGGTCAACACGAGGCTATGAGTACTTACGTTCTGGGGGGTCAAAGGCTACACTTGGACTTGCGAGTATGAGGGCAGATCATTGTCCCTGGCCCCCACCCTCCCACCACTATATTCTCTAGTTGAGGAGTTTATACTCCAAGCAAGGACACTGTCTAGCCTTGCAGATAGTAAGTGACCCTGAATGGACTCCCAGTGCTTAGCGAGCATCCTATAACCCTTTGGTACTTTCTTGCAGTTCCTTGTACTGAGCACATACAGGAGCTAGCCCGGGTGTATTTTCATCTTATGCTTCACACACACCCTTCAGCTACGGACGCCGGCTACTTGCATCAGAGCCCTGTCTGCACTCCATTTTCCGGCCTGATCTCCCTACGACATGCCCCCCACTCACGCTCCAGCCCAAAAGCAGACCGTTTACTACGTATCACAGATACCAGACGATGGCACAATCAGAGAATCCAAGTTCGCCTATGAGAATCCGAGCATCCCACGATCCACACATCACTCATCCTCTCCTCTCCGAGTCCCCTGGGTCACCCCAGCCAGCACCCCTGCTTGCATCTCTGTTTAGCATTGACTTTACTCTGCCTTGGATTATGGTTTGTACTGAACATTTATGTCTCCACCCCCATCCCAGGCTGTAAACTCTTTGAAAACCCACTCTTTTTCAGTTTTCCGGCTTCGGTGAGATCATAATCAGTTTCACCCACATGGCATGACACGCAGCAAATACTCAAATTGTTACTGGAATAGAAAAGGAAGGCAGAAGGTGGAAAGAGACATGAAATCCACATTGTTTCAGAGCTTCTGGGTACCAGGCCCCGTGGCGGGCACGTTACACAGCTTCATCAGACATGCTTTAAAAAGGAGAAAGGATGGGCGCCTGGGTGGCTCAGTCGGTTAGGCATCTGCCTTCGGTTCAGGTCATGATCCCAGAGTTCTGGGATCAAGTCCCACACTGGGCTCTCTGCTCCTCCCCCTCTCTCTGCTGCTCCCCCAGCTTATGCTCTCTCTCTGTCAACTAAATAAATAAAACTTAAATAGATAGATAGATAGATAAACAGATATAGAAAGGAGTCCCCCAGGTAGGCGAGAAAAACAACATACACAAAGGAATTACCAGTCTCAGTCACGTTGTTCCATGGGCCACCTGTCCTATCGAATGGCCTCTTTATTAATTTTGCCTAAGTTTTAGATTTCAGATTTAGAACCATGAACAGCAACTCTCGCCACGGTGGTTTCACACTCTTTCCTCCCTTCACCGCTCCCCCGGCCCCCCAACCAGGTGTAAGAGCAAACTCCTGTCGCTCTCCCTGGGAGCTGATGACAGTCTGTAGCTTCTCTGGGGGCAGATGCCAGCTTCGCACAAGCTCAGTTCAAAACTGTCCCCCTGAGCACAAGCTCAGTTCAAAACTGCTGCTCCTTTCAGGAACCGGGGCAAAGCATTCTCAGCTTCTCTCCTTCCGAGGACTTAACGCCAAGTAGCGACTACACTTTAGAACCTCTTCATGATGTGTTCCAGTCTGTCACCTGACTTGGAGTACAGCTGGCTTTTGTCATAATGAAGTCATTTGCAAGAAGTGGAGAGCACAGCATTAACAGACCCAGGCTTTGCATGGACACGGGGCATGGGGCAGCAGCATCTCTCCATACGAATAGCAAAAACCCTGAAAAGGCAGAGCCAGCTCCCCAGCTAAAGGTAGAGAATCTAGAAAAAATGGTCAACAGGGCAAGGAATGGCTTTAGTCGAAGGGTTTTTAGATGGGATGTCAAAAGCACGGTCCATAAAAGGGAAAAATGGATAAATCGGACTTCACCCAAACCAAACATCTTTGCTCTGCCCAAGATCTGTTAAGAGAAGGGAAGGACAAGCCCCATGCTAGGAGTAAATGCTGACCAATCACATTTCTGACAAAGGACTTGGTATCGGAACGCATAAAGAACTCTTGGAGGTCGGTAGTAAGAAACAACCCAATTTTTAAAAAGAGGCAAAAGATCTAAACAAGGTAGTTCATCAGAGAAGATGTATCAATGGCAAAGAAGTATACACGAAGATGTTTGAGGGACCTGGGGGGGCTAAGTCGGTTCAGTGTCTGCCTTTGGCTCAGGTCGTGGTCCTGGGTTCCTGGGATTGAGCCCCGCGCCAGGCTCTCTGCTCACCCCCTGTGCTCTCTATGTCTCTCTCAAATAAATAAATCTTTAAAAAAAAATAGATCTTAAAAAAAAAAAAAGATGTTTGAAATTATTAGCCATTAAAGAAATGCAGTTTATAGCCAAAAGGAGATATCACTACAAACTTACTGAATTGCTAAAATTTAAAAACAAAACAAACAAACAAAAAAACAAGGGCTGGCAAGGATGCCGAGCAACTGAAACCCTCACACACGGCTGAGGGAACTGCAAACAGCACAGTCGGGGTAGAACACAGTCTGAAGGTGCCTACACTTAACACACACTTAACGTAAGACCTGGTGGTCTCGACCCTATGTACTCAACCAAGAGAAACGGAAACTTGTCCTTACACAAAAACGTACACATCATGGTCTCTACGGGCTGTAATGCATATCGTCAGCCCCTGGCGACCACATGGATGTCTTCCTCTGATGCTATGGGACTCCCAGGGTGAGGATAGAAAAGGCAATAAAATGGCTTCTGCTCAGCTCCGTCCCCCGACATGCTCAGCCACAGCATCCAGCTGCCTTGCCCTGAGAAGGTCCAGCCACGTGGGAAGGCCACAGGGAAGGGAGTCGGCAGACAGCTAGCATCAGCCACCGGGTGTGTGGCTGAGGAAGCCTTTCCATGGCTCTGGACCCGGCCCCTGTCTGACTCTCAGGGCTGGGAAGAGCCCCAAGGCAAAAACCTCCTGGCAGAGCCCCATCGAGCCTGGAACCGTGACAGGTGAGTGAAAGTGACGGCTTGTGCTGTAGGCCCTTTAGGCTGGAGTGGTTTGCATCCAGCAGGAGATAAGCAGAACACTGGAGGGTCCAGAAACCAGGCTGGAAAGCTGCACTAGGAATGGGACTGTAGACAGGGTGCCCATAAAAAGCTTTGAAGCAGAGAAATGTTTCAGGAGGTGAACAATTTCAGCCAAGTACGTAGACTGTATCAGAGTAAGGACACAGTTTCCATCCTCTGGAGTGAGGCTGGACCAGGGGCCAAGGCAAAAAGAAGTAATTCTTCCTAAACTCATTAAAGAGTTACCACCACCCCAATGGAAACATGCATGCTTTTATGACAAAACCCTACAGAACGCAAGGACTGTTAGAATAATTACTACAACCAGGAGTGTAGGAGTAATCGCAAAGGAAAACGGACTCATGCCAGTCTTCTTAGGAGAGGCCAGAGCCTATCTCTTGAGCTAACTGGTGGAGAGAATGCTGGCTTGACCACTATGTGCATTCTGGTACACGACTGCATGCCATTCTCTCCACTGACAGCTCAAGAATGGCCTTATAAGCATTGCTCAGAACAGTCATGAAACTGACCCAAACATCCAATCGGCTGCAGAACGGATAAACTGTGGCGCGTTCCCACGTTGGAATACAAAACAGAAACCAAAGTAAATGAACTACAGTGCCATGCAACAGCTGGTAAAACATCGGTTCTCAGGTCTGAAACCTCTCACGCCGGCTGGGCTGTGCCGAGAATGGGGAGATTTGCATCTGAGAAGTGAGCATCCAGAAAGCACTCCGGCAAACACTCAGAGAAAAGCCAAGGTCTGAGCCCAGGGACATCCGGGATTCCTCGAATCTGTTCCTCTCGGACCGTCCAAGCCCCCAGGACAGCCACGACACAGAGGCCAAGGTTCCAGCAGGCTCGGTCTAAACATAACAATCACCAACCATGATCAAAACCAGTGCATCTCACCCCAACAGAAAAAAAAACACAAGACTGCATGTCAATAATTTGATTCCTGAGAGTTCCCTTTCCTGATGGCTTTCTTAGAACACAGTAGTAAGTGAGCAAAGAAGCAAACCTAAGATAAAAACCAATCTGGCATTCACGTGGGCCTCCCACGGCTGTGCCAACACCAGCTCGAGGCAGAGTGCTCCCTGCATTTCCCTGGTGGGGTCTGGGCCGATCAGAACCAGCCCTTTCTCGGGTTTTCACCAAGCACGGCTGGCATTATATTACATAATACAGAAAGGGTTCCAAACACCAACACTTGTCATCTTGATGGATTTTCACAGGGTAACAGCTTTCTACCATCAGTCCGTGGCCCTGTGTATCCCACTGTGTCTTGCTTTGATCTCCTAAGAGACTCTTAACTACCACTCGACTTTTGATCTGAAGAGTCAAGTCATCCTTAAAGAGCTATAGTTCAGGGAACCTTCTCTTGAATCCTGGCAACATAGTATTTTTCTTGCCATTTCCATAGGCTACTTCTACCATTTCCTTAAAATGGCAGCAAAACTGTTCTGAGACTCCAAACCCTGAGAAGA